AATGGCGTTGGGAGCCTGAGCCTGCAACTCCTGGCAGCCGGGGTGCTCGTCCGAGCAAGCCTCAGCATATTGTGGAGCTGCCTCGCCTCCCACCATCCTCTTCACCATCTCCATGGCTCGCGCGTCGCACTGATCTCAAAGCTTGAAGATGCGCACTGTGATGTGCGGAAAGATTCCGAATGCAGCAACGAGCATTTCAAGGGCAAGGCACAACGAGAGACAAAAGCAGATTATCACAACATTACTGCTTGTAAATCGACTTCTGCCACACGCCGCCATGTGGGGCTTTTCGGCCTTCTGCGATCGTCAGATTGCAGTTGCCCTCCGGCAATACAGTTGACACAGTGCTGCCAAGCATTAGCATGGCACACGCGCAACATGCGAAACCTGGTCGTGTCAATGCTTTGCCTTTGCATCTCAGCTCAGCCACTAGCTACCAGCACAGGCTGACAACTTATCGCACTGTTGCTGCCAGAAGATAACTTCCGAGAAGGTGTGTCGCGTTCCTGGTCTTCCAGCAGAGCCAGCCAACAGCACTGGCACAAGTCACCAAAATCCAGCCCACGCGAAGTGCCGTGGACAGAAACCGCCATCGCGCGGCCATAACTATTTTCTGCCGCAGCTGCATTTTGTCCAGGCCAGGCAGCGCAAGCTCGTGCGCAGCATGAATGATTGCTAGCACGACTTGGCTATCAAGCCCGGAGAAGCCGCTGTACTCCCGGAGTCGTGTTCTGGTACGGCGCAACGTCATGACATGACCATGAAGGCAGCTGTCGTCCCAGTCACGCTGGAGTCTGCAGGCCATTTCCACACAGCACAACCGCTGTGGTGTATCATCCTAAGCTCTGTCGCCAGCAAGAAAACAACTCCAAGCTAAAAGCAAGGTACGTTCTCCGGCATCGCGCTGGATCAACTGTCAGTGCAAGCACTCGGTTCCCGAAGCCAAGCAGCCGTGAGGACGGATCTTGAAGCGCTTTCCTGGTATCGTCGAACAAAGGCCAGTCTCGCGTCGATTAGATCCAACATCCTCGGTGTGCAACCGGCAGAACATGATGCCATAAGACGGATAGAGTTGTGGTGGGAAATTGAACGCAGGCTTCGTTTGAACGAGCTGCTTGGGCTTTGACATGCAGTTGCGCAAAGGAAGCCTGAATATTTGAGCACATTCCATGCCGAGTTATAGAAAGGTATCGGCAAGCCACGTCAACAACAGCGATCATCACCAGCAGAGGCAGCTCGGACGAAAATATCATTATGAACGCAGTGCTAGCTGCTAGTGGAGATGCCGCCTGTGATGGTAGCCACAGAAACGACGTTGATGTAGTTCCGTGCGACGATGACGAGAATGCCGTCGACAACAAACATAATGATGACGATGATGATGATAATGATAACGATGATGATGGTGGCTGATGATGGTGATGGTGATAGCGATGGTGATAGCTTTGAGTAGGAGGAAGAGGCTCAGTACGATGATAGTGATATTGCTGGTGATGATAATAGTGATGACGATGACCTCCTCCTACTACTACTACTACT